TTGACATAGGTTTTGACTTTTGACATAGGTTTTGACTTTTGACATAGGTTTTGACTTTTGACATAGGTTTTGACTTTTGAATTATTCCATCTCTTATAAAAAATATTATCAAACATGCAATCCACTGATTCATTGAGAGAATTAAATACCAAGCTCTTAGCTGAGATTGCCAAACTTAGGAAGGAGAATACTGAAATTCCTGAACTTAGAGAGAAGCTACTAAGATTTGTTGAGGTTGAGGCTGAGAATGCAAGGTTGAAGCAAATTATTGAGGAGAATGCAAGGCGTGATGCTGAGAATGCTGAACTCAAGTCTAGAGTCAGAGAACTTGAGGCTAGACTTGCATTATTAGAACAGGGTTCAGCAGTGGATGGGATGGTGTTGTCATTTGGTCAGACACAAAATGATAAAGAAGCGATGTCAGTGGTGACGGTAACAACTGTAGATGTACTGGTTCTGTAATAGACCAACTCAATAATGATGAGGAAATGGTTGATTTCTTGGATGAGGTGTGTAAGAAAAGCATTAGCAATGAGATTAGAAAGAGGAAGCAGGAAAAGAAACAGAGAGATCAAGAGCATCCAGAAAATATAAAAAAATTTTACACATGTCAATTGTAAGTTTAATAATAAAAAAGTGTAAAACTTACATCGGCACTGTAAGATTTACACAATATTACGTCGGCATCGTAAGATATATGCAAGTTTACACTAAATTAATTTCCTGATGAGGCACTTTTAATTTCTCAGGATGTGACTAAAATTCCTGAAGTCACGGACATGTTAACTTCAGAGCAAGACGAGCAAGGCTTGTCACAATCTTATGAGGCTAGTTCTGAGAGCATAAGTTCAGCATATTGCATCTTACCAAAGCAACCACAAGTTAATGCATCCAAATTAGCATATAATCTTGAAAACCATGAAGATTCTTCACGATCGGAGTCATGTGGCATAGAGGAACTTAAATCCAATCAGCATGGTGAAGTTATTACCAAGTTGGATAAAAATATAATTGTGGAACAGGAATTAAAGCAACAGTTATCGTCACCTGCACATACATCTAGATCAGATCAAACTTCAGAAGAACAGGATCCATCTATTAGATACTGCACAAAATATAGTTTGCATGTTCAAGAAAGCTAATAAACTTGGTCAAGAAGCAATTTTATACTGGTGTTACTTTATAGAAAAATATGACAAAAGGATCGATAACTTTGTTGCTGGTGGAGTTAAGAAAAAAACTGCAACATCTATGGCATATCAAGAAATCAAACAGCTTCTACCTGAAATAACAGATGTGAATTTGCGTCAAAAAATCCTTAGAGCTAGAAAATTATATAAATTATTCAATACATTGGGACTAGAGAAAATTAAACAGGTCTCTTATAGCACAGATGCCATTTCAAGTCTCAATTACCAACAAATCCAAGATATAATAGATTATGTGAATTCAGTAACAAGTTCACACAATGAAACCATGAAGATTCTTCACGATCAGAGTCATGTGACTTCAAAAATTAATCCAACTAATACATATATTCCTCTGAAAGCACCCCAATCTAAGCCAACTTATGATCAATCCTATTTTTGTAGCAAAACATTGGATCAATAACCTAATTTATATAAAGAGTGTAGTGATGGAAATGTCAATTATTATGGAATTACTGACAATACATCATGTTCATTATGCAGATTAGATCATGATGACATAGAAGGGGAATATAAAGATGGAACTTACTATATTAAATGTGAACAGTGCATTGTTCAAATAACTGCATAAACTGAAGCAGTCCTATCATTTCGTTATGCTTTATAACTCATTAGTATGCAATAAAGAATAAAATATGTGCTTTATGTGATATCCGAGAAATTAAATTGCTTTGAAATTATATAAATGACAACATGAATTCACAAGTCAAGTCTGATAAGGTACTAACCCCCAAATATCTGGATTGGTATTCTAAATTAACTGACTTGCCAACCATGATATCCGATAAACTTCATTCCAAGTTATATAAAATATATAAGGAAAAAACTGGACTCGATCCTTGGATAAAGTCTGAAACTTCTGAATCCCCACAAAGCGAAAATGCTGATAATCATATCCTACAAGACAGTTCACTGAAAACTCAGGTGAGGGTACTACAGATGAATGTTGTACCTATATCACCTAAACGACAATTTCCAATTTCTGTTCTACCTAAAGACCCGGAAGAGAAACAAAAACACATTATTAAAATGGTATTGGAGCGATTTCCTTATTTAACTCTGAAACATAGCTTTAAAAATAATTACTTTGATTTTAATAGATCAGTACCCTGCCCTTTATGTAATAAAAACCATAAAAAAGAAAATATAAGAAATTATATAGAGGGTTTTTGGGGTAGTGGTGAATATTGTGGCAAAGAAACTTATCATCTTTATTGCTATCAAATAAATATCAGAATTCAATCCAAATAGTATCTATAAAGGCATAAGATTGAATATCATATAACAAGCAATAAATTATTTTTCTGCGTATATAAAATGTTTAGAAGATTAAGATCAGGTGCTACATGCTTATCACCTGAAGCAATTAGGGATATTATTACTGCAAAGGGTACACGAAATGCATTACCGATATTAGCTTTAAAATATAATGTATCATATGCATGAATTCGTGAAATATGGAAATTTGCTATTGTGATAAATAATTAATATGATGCACATTACACTTAGGAAACATGAAATAGAAAATAATGTATTATGCAGAGTGGGTTACAAAGTACCCTAACTTTATTTATAAAGCAAAAAAAAAATTAATAAAGTTATGAATATTTTGCTTTTGCACACTCATTACATTCATTGTAATTTTTTTTTTTATTAATATTCATCACAAATGTTCTTTATTGCAAATTAGATTCCAATACCAATTTCGCTAACACAGATCATATAAATTTTTATACATAACAAAGAAAGTATAATAATAAAACAATAATAGTTTGATCTGTTGATTATAAATTTTATGTTAAGACTTGAAGTATATCATTAAAATCTATGTTCGCTCCACATCCTAATACAAGATGCCTATTCCATTTCATCTTGTACCAACGAACTGTATTGCCCACAAGCCAATGGCCAAGATATGGAGCATGAGAAGGACGAGCTGTTTTGGGTGTTCCCACCATTGAAGCGACACCTGGATTTGGATTTGCTGGAAGGGGGAGTCCAATAGTTGGAAGAACAATGATCATAAACTCTGTGTTTGGGCAGTGGGGTTGAATGCATGTGATTTTATTTATGCCATTATCACGATCACCATGTTTGTCATAGGCCACCTATAAATATTTGATTAGCCTATTGTTAAAAAATAGTTGCATAGTTTGGAAAATAAGGAAATAAGATCTTTACCTCAATCCATAACAATGGTGGTGGACATGGATTAATAATAGGAGTAAGTTTTTGATTAATTGTTGGTTTAGGGTTCCAACCGCCCACATCAGGTCGATACTGATTACCATTAACCATACATATTGTATCAATTTGAGTCCACCAAGTTGGTGGGAGTTGTTGGTTAAGTGAACTCGTCAACTTATAATGTATTTCTGCTTTAATCCCACCATTAAACTCGAATAGTAACAAAAGAATTAGAAAATGCATGTAAAGTAATTATAAAACAAAAATGGTACCTTACCTTGATGAACAATTTATTGTCAACAATTTCAGCATTAAAAATATCATGGATCGCTTCAAAAATTTTATCACGTTTCTTGCCCTTGGCCTTTATTTCTGGTAATTCAAGTTCTATAATATCCACATCATGCATTTCGCGTAGTTCTTCATTAACTTCATTTTCGATTTGACTGATCACCTAGGAGAAATGGACTGTTGGCTTAATTCAAAATATATGTTTCAAAAAAAATGGAATGCATTATTATACCTTGGATTCTGCATTATCTTGAATCAAGTCAACAAGCTTTTTAAAGGCACTTTGTACTCTTTGTACTGTGTTATAAGAATGTGCAAAGTTCCTTTTATAAGACTTTTGGATAAATATTTATTTCATGTTTTTTTAATTAACAATAAAATAGTACCTTTACTAATTAAACGACCACTAACCCCACCGATCCCAAAACTACTCTCTACTCCTAAAAATGTGATTGCCATTGCACTATATATAAGATTGGTTATTATATTTTTTTATGGGTAAAATAATCGGTTAATTGGTCAAATAGTTGCGAGTTATTTATTTAATTCATTATCAACTTATTGTGAAAAATAATTACTTTGCCTCATAAAAATTAGATAGTATGCCAAGTGGTAGAACAGGATATTTATTACCGAACGCAAAGATCCATTTTTTTAGCAAGCAAAGGAGTCTTATAGATATTATCATTGAATCTTGTCGTTATTCCATATTTGACACCTGGAGCATATCATATAAACTACATACAAAAGAACCAGTTTCGCATAATCATTTGCTAATAATGTTGGGTCACAACACCAACATCTCAATTCTTTTTTATGAATATTTTTTCTTGTCATCTGAAGATAAACCTTATTTCAACGAATTTCAAACTCCAAAGATTCCTGATTTGGAATATGTGACGAGTAACTTTTGCTAGATCAGAGAAATATTAACTGATGAAATGTGGTAATTGACCTAGAGCACGTAAAAAACAAGCTGTTGAAGATGGAAAATTGAGGAAGTCATAGTGATGTTTTTCAAAATAATAATAAATACTTTTTTATTCATATACTAAAAATATTAATTTTTTTTTTAAATATTTTTTTATAATGCGTCAAAATTTATAACATGTGACGCTTTTTTCTTTTCTAATTCGTCTTCTCTCTATAAATATTAAATGAACAACAGTAAAAGAAAAATTAATTAATAATCAATAATTTTATAAAATCAAACTATTATTTGTTTACCTTTTCCATCCAATGTAATGCTGCAACAATAATTGCTAAAATTACGGTAGCTATAACTAATGTAATTAATACCCATGGAATCCAATCACCGGGATGAATATATAATTCCAATAACCACCTGTTTATAATTGTATGTATGTATAAATATTATAAATATTATATAAATTGCATCACTAATTAACATTGGCTTATAATAAACGTACGTGTAAGCGTCATTTATATCATCAGGTTGATATGGTACAATAATAAGTTGAGAATTTGGAATTACCCCAGAAAATGAAGTGTAATGATAAGTCTATTATTATTGTTTTATTATTATATATTATTATAAATTAAATAACAATTCATTCAAAAAAAATTTTTGTAAAAAATTAGTAAAAAAATATATAATTTCGTTTTAAAATTAAATTAATGTATTAATATTAATACCTGATTACGTGTAGTACCCACAAACAATTCCTCGACATAATTATTTGTACGGCCAAGTCCAAAGAGCGAGTATGGTGTTTGTAAATAAAGGTATCCAACTTGAGAATACTGGGCAACTATTTAAAAATTCATTTTTTTGTTCATTTAACTTTTAAGCCGTTCAAATATTTAATTTTAACATTAAATAAAGAAAATAATACCTTGATTTGCTCTTTTATTTCCATATGTATCTACAACAGTGAATTTAAATGCCGAACCTGGATGATTTACTCCATAGTTCTATTAAATCAACACAATGACAATTATTATTAAAGAAGATATTGTTTATTAAACAAGAAATACATTCGTATAAAATACAATACCTGTTTTTGTGATACACCGTTTAACACTACAAAATACAAGGATACAAAACACATCTTTATTGTTATTATTATTATTACAGAAAAAAATAAGCAATTATATATTATTGGTTGTTAAACATACTTAAAGTTTTCAAAAAGAATGCATCATTGAAGTAATCGTTATTTAACAAGTAAACATCTCTTGCTGCATCGTTGGTATTTAAATTACCAAGGACCACAATATCCAATGTTCCCTATAATATAAATATAATTAAAATCATTATGGGTAAATCATCTTATAATAAAGCATATATATAAATATTCTCGCCTTATGCCAAAAAAAAGGAGAGATAAATAATAATAATTACATCTTCATCAATATCAAAGAAGGCAGCACCTTTTGCATTTTTAATTTTATTTAATGAATGTGCCCCATCTACCACTTTAAAAAATGTACGTCTTTGAGCTTTAACTGCTAATGGATCACAAAGTTCAAGTGTACATGCTGTTGATTGTAAAAGTGAAACCAAACTTTCAGAGTTTTTTTCACTAATGACAAGAAGATCAGGAAAACCGTCTAAATTGTAATCACCTATATATGTATTTTTTATGTAATTATTATATATTAATTAATCGATACAATAAAGTATAGTAAAGAAGAAAAACCTACCAATTCTGATCGGAACGGGCAATATTCCATTGAATGATCGGTCTTTGGTAACAATTGTTCCACCATCTAATAAATCTTTAACGTCTATAACCATATATGCCTAAATTTTATTTTCCATATGTATATATATATATATATATATATATATATATATATGTAAATTTCATTATGAATTATAGTAAAAAACAAAAGTTGTACTAGATAGTTTACATCATTATCTGGATCATCGTTTAAATTAAATCTAAAGTCATCATCAGGTTCACATAAATTTGATATTTTTCGACAATTTATTTGGTCTTTACTCGTACATAAAGGTTTTTGTTTATTGTAAGCTATATGAATAGCGCATTCAGATCTTTTGCAAACTGGAAACACCATATCTATTGCTCCATCTCCATCTATTATTTATATAATATATATATATATATATAAAATCAAAAATTAAAAAAGATAATTTGTAAAGATCAATCACTATTGTAATTATTATTATTATTATTACCACCAACCTATATCAGCAAATGTAATGGGTCCTGCATCTGTAGGCAATTCGCCATATCTAGTAAGTACATATCCTTGATCTTTTTGATTAACCCATATTTGGTATGATGTTTCTCTGAACTCCTCCTCGCATGTCAAGAATAAATCTAATGTCCCAATCAATGAATGATATTATACATTAATGTATACCTAAGGGCATATGTATTCAAATATAAATTTCCGTCTACTTACCTGAAAAACAATCACCATTGAGATCTATAAAAGCATTCGAGTGTGGTTCTGATAATCTACAACCTTTTTGTGGCATTGTTTTATTGTTAGTTGACAGTGGAACTCTTAAAAATAGAATTATATTATTATTGTGATTAGTTTGATTATTGTCAATATTAAAATCCTCTCATTAGAAACACACTTTCTCCTAATAAATCAATAATGGATCAATGAAAAACTCTTGGTGATTTTTCTTTAATCCAGATTTAATTTTATGATATAACGAATGAATGTCATCTCAAACCAATATCATCAACAACAAATAATAAAATCCAGCTAACTAAATAATCATAACAAATATCAATTTTAGATTTCTTACATTTCAAATAATGTTCCAGCGGATTCATTATATACATTTTTCCATACATATAATTTGTTGTCTTGTGCAGATGATAAATAATGTCCGAGTAAATCAGTTTTCATATCACCATTAAAATCAAATGTTATTGGATGTTGTGAATATGATGCATCAAGCTCAATGTATTTAGAATCTAAAGAATAAAATGAAAAAAATAAATAAAATAATAAATTTTTTAGAGGGGGATTGAAAAAAATAGATCAATTACTAACTGAATGTAGCATTATCGTATCCAAAATACACTCTCATATACAATGGCTCATTTTTTCTAAACACACTTGATGGATTAGTTTGTCCCATCAACAATAGATCCAAATTTCCATCATAATTATAATCTCCCGGTATTACATTTGTAATCAAAAATTTATTTGGTTGATCATCTGATATTTCTATATCTGACGAGTTTGCCTTAGTAAAGTTGAATGATTCTACCATCAATATAATTACAATCATTATCATTATTATTATCAAATAAAAATTAAAGAGAAAAAATCGAAATAAATAAATAAAATTATTATTGCTAACCATGGTTCCATAAATATATACTGATTGATGTTTGACTAAAATCTAAAACAACTAAATCAGTACTAAATATAAAATTTATAAATTTATAAAAAATAAATCCTTTTGTCAAAAAAAAAAAAAATCCATTATTTAATGCTTTTTGAAAAAAATATATTTTACAATTTATCCGAGTTAAAATCGCCGAAAGCTGCCACTGTTCCAGAAATATTTTGCAAACCAGTATCTTTTAATGGTGTCAATCCATTAGTCAGCGAATGTTTGCCATTTCTACTAAAAAAACTTGAATCTATCGAAGGTAGATATAATAGCGTTATTAGAGAGAATATGTATATAATTTTTATAAGAAATAAAGTCATTCCTAGTATTAAAAAAAAAAGATGTTTGAATCACAATGAGAACTGTGAATTTGAAATTTTCATGGCTATTTTATGTTGTGCAAAAAATAAACTTTTTTTCCATTTATAGTGCAAAATAATCAACTAATACTAAATAGCCTTTACCCAGCAAATGGGTTTAGGGATTTATTTGATTTGTTAGCTTGTTATGGTTATTTTATTTATTTTTTTTAATTATATATCTTCAAAAATAAATGATACACGAGTAGCTATGTTTCATTTACCTATTACGCAATGCAATATACCAGGGTTGGCAATAGACTAGGTCCATTGAGACCAATGAGTTTTGGGCTGTTAATAAAATAAATACTAAATATGGTAATGTTTAAAATGTTACAACAATGGGCCAGTTGGTCAGTACCTGCAATATACTATTTTATCTAATGTTGTTTGAACGAAATGTTACCAAAGTTGTAAAACTATTAAATCAAATGGCGTAAGTAAAATTGCTTTAAAGGCTAATAAATTTACAATAAAATGAAATTTTATGCTACAACAAAATGTTTTGTAGTATTGCAAAATTTGATCAGTTTTGTCCGCATTTTAAAAAAAGTAAAGAGATAAAAAAAAAAAAATAAAAATACATTTCCCATTTCAACAATAGATTTTTTTTTTTGACAATTTTTAACTGAAAACATATGACCAACTGCCAGAAGCAAATAGCTGTTAATGAAAAATTTCTATCTTTAAATAGTGCGCTGTCTTTTTAATGATCCTTTTAATGTTTTCAGGAATTCCAAATGATTTTTTTCAAAAATTTGTTCTACATTTTTACTATCAATGATGTCAATAAAATGATTATGTTTTCTTCGTGTGTTTTGTGGGTACATGTTTGTAACAAATGCTGCTCTCGAAAGATCAGCAGGATATGCAACAAGAACACATATAAGTCCATTTTACATTGCCTTTCCATATTTGAAATAATTTCATTATGTTCTTTATGCCTATTACCATTTTTATCTCTGTAAAATAATGCAGGATCAGTTGAGGATAAAGCAATTCCTGCATGTACAGAAAACCGCAACTTGGCCTGACATTAGTGATGGTCACCAAAACTAAGGAGTTTTGAAATTGTTTAGTTTTGATAAGTTTCGAAACTAGTTTCACAATGATCCTATTTTTTCAAAGTTATGAAAGTCAAAACCTATGTCAAAAGTCAAAACCTATGTCAAAAGTCAAAACCTATGTCAAAAGTCAAAACCTATGTCAA